TTCGACCGGGCCGGAAGCCACACTGCTCTTCTTGAATCTTGACGTCAACTATTTCACGGCATCTCCTTTCAATTTAAAATTCTTTTATGATTCAAAAATCCAAGAATTACTCCCAGGTCAAAGAGGTAAAGCTGTCTACCTTTCCTCAGCATAGCATGCAGTCAAAAAACCAGAAATGTTTAATGGAAACAAGGGCAAGAAACGAAAGCTGTCAACTGTTTTCCGGATAGGTTCATTCGATAAGATGATTGTAACAGTGCTCCAGTAAGATCCTCTCGACCGAGATGCGAGTTTGCTAAGGCACCATGGTGGGTCGCCATCGTGGACTCGATATGCAATCTTGCCGAGTATAATTTCGCAAAGCATATGTGTTTGTATTCCGGAAGTATGTTAATAAAGACATGACATCGTCAGAGCATGGATTTAATTTCTTCTTCCTCTAAACTACGTTAGTTACGTCGCTTCTTCGTTTCCTTCATCTTACCCTGATTCTTCATTTTTTACTTATTAATTTCTTGTATTTATTTTTTTCTTTTCATCTTTTTTCTGTCATTTTCCTATTCTTGATTTCGTCTTCTCCTTCCTCTTTTTTCTCTTCTTTTCTTGTTTTTTCTTCTTGGCCGTCGTTTCTTTTCCTCTTCTTATTTTCGTTTCGTTTCTTTTTTCTCTATACTTCTGTCCTTTCTTCTTCTGCTCCTCTTTTTCCTCATTGTTCTCGTTTTTCTCGTACGTCTTTTCGTCTTTGTTTTCTTCTAATAGCTTTAACTTCAGTTTTGATAGACCCTGATTCCAATTATTAATGATGCCCGATCCGTATACGCAGCCAATCCATTTTTACTAATGAAATAATTTTCAAAAATTGCTGTTCTCTTCGGGTTCTCATTAGCATTTGCTTTACTGGGCGCTTCCAGTGATTCCGATCCGCCATTTATCGGACAAGCTCAGTGATTCGGATTCCGAGGCGTTACACTACAAGTTTTTTTTTAAATTATCGAACCATCGGGTCTGTAGCCTGCCCGTTGGCTGTGTTTCCCACCGTTTTGCCAAGGGAGCTCGTCTTGTGACTCTTCCAAGTCACATATCAAAACTTCACTTGACCCTTGCAAGGGCAAAAGTGCGATCATCATCACCTGCTTGAGTCCCCTCCCCCTCGGACAGCTAGGAGCTGGAGCGTGAAGCAGCACGTCGTCGAATTCAGTCTCGAAGGAGCTGCGGTCTTACAGTTTCGCGCACACTTGTTTTCCGTTACGTCAAAGGTTTAAAATGACCAGTCACCGCTGGAATGCCGCTTTCAATAATAATAATATGACACAGAAGTTGAACAAAACCTGAAGTGCGATGCATCAGCCGAAAAAATTTCGCCGTGCACCAGAAACACGGCCATTGTGACTGAGTAGAACGTCGAACATACCTCACTCCTTACTTCGTCATGGCATGCGATTACTAACCCACATGGTTGCCTGTAGTTTTCAGGACACGTGAATAAGAATGAATTTATGCAGAGGCAATAGCGTTTGTTTCACAGACGAATAAGTTCTTAGACACATTAGGGTAAATACTTTCGGTTGTAAGACAGAATATTGACAAA